CGGTCGAGGCGTTCTTCTTTGTTCGAGATGGCCGTTCCATTCTGATGTTTGATGGTTTCACTCACAGGTGGTTTCCGGGGATTGGTCGCACGGATCAACTGAAATACTCTCCGGGCATTACCGGCTTTCTGGGCCTCTTCCATTTCTTTGACTTTCTGTGTCCACCATACTTGTCGGTCGGATCGCAAGCTAGTTATAGCCGGACGATTATTATTATTACTCAGCCTGAAAATCATACACCCTAACTCGCTGAACTGCATAAGTATCCACCATACTTCACGGTCGGATCGCAAGCTAGTTATAGCCGGACGATTATTATTATTACTCAGCCTGAAAATCATACACCCTAACTCGCTGAACTGAGTTCATAAGTATCGAATCAGTACGATTGGTGGTTGTCCTATTATTAGAAAATATAGATTAGCAACTATTTCTTTTTTATGGTTTATTTACCTTTGTACTAAGACTTTACCACTCCAGATGTCATTTCTGGCAGAGACTGCGGTGCAACTTATCGCATAAGCTACACCAAGGCCTGTCACTTTACCATACGTCAGAGACGTTAGCTTTTGCAATGTTTTCTGTCGTCCACGCACCCAACGATACCTACCACACCGCATATATGGCTATTCGATAGCTCCTATGTCGGATTGAACAACTTGTCGGTATCTCAGCCCCTATGTCTTCTTCAAGTTTAGCTACGCAGCTATGTAGCGAAAGATGGCGCAGCTGGACGATTTTCACAATCGTTTCATCATCACCATTGGAAGAAACATCAGTGTTTCACTGCCACATTCTACCATTCTGTATAATCCCGGTAGCTCAAGATTTTTCAATGAGCTACCCTCATGCCTCTGGATTGCGTGGTAGCCATGTGTCGAAAAGAGAGCACACTCGAATATTATTTGGTTTCGAAAGTTTAGTTTCAGTCCATCGGTCAGCAATCAGAGACTTTTTCCGCCCTGATTGCGTTTCGTATTGGATCGCGCATATTAGACATTCTGAACACGAGGCATCACTGGTCGCCGAGTCAAGTGTTCAGGTTGGAATGTATTTCCAAGTCCCGCTGATTATTCGCATTTGATTCGGCTGATTCACACCCACTTATTTCGCCGTCCCTCTTTGAAACACACCGTTTGAAGGATACTGCGCACTTCGTCTCCGTGGCCAAATTACATGGTACTCGTCATATGTTGATGAAAAAAAACAAAGATCGAAGTCATCATTACATTGGTACTGCCGCGAAAATGATCGTAGTTTCATGACACACGTACGTGAGCTTTCTCCACTGATTTCTTTATTCGTTCGATCCATTTTTGTGTGCGATTAACGGGTGTTCTTGGCAGCATAAAACCGGCCGGGGTTAATGTCTCGATCCAGTTCTCGGTCTGATCCTTCCGAGCCGAAAAATTACCAAGGATACACGGTTCATTAAACACCCCAAAGGCTGGTCATAAAATCGCACACAGCGTGTTATATTTGAAGTATATGCAACGACATCATGGGAATTCAGTCGCCTCCCGGACACGCCATCGGCAACCGATCCAGCGGATGCCGAAAAGTGATTGGCTTTTGGGTTCACCTTTGGGCTTGCCTTTATGCCTAGTAGGCAAGTGACCCGCTCTTCTGACCACTCACATGCGAGTCAGGCTTACTGGCCTGACTGCGAGCGATGTGGCGGCTTTAGCGTAGGAAGCAGCCTATCACATAGACATTGACCGATTCATCACGGCGTCTTAATCCCACCGGGCCAGTTCACTAGACACATCTGCCTTGCGATCAGGCTTTTGTACCAATGGCTTTGGTCACGGACCATAATCGTCGCCCTGTCCGCTTACAGGTACCCTGATACTACCCCAACCCACATATAACCATGAATTTCACACTTATAAATAACCTCATAACGCATCGGTTCTTGCGTGGTTTCACCAGCCGGGTTGTCCTACTTGCTGTCTAGAGCAGGGTGGGTAAGCGAAAACAGACTATTGTTGGAGCCACCTGTTTTCTAGCTCACATGCTTTTCCCGCTCCCCACTTCGTTAATAATTCTCTTCTTGTGGACCCATCAGTTAGGACCAATGAGTCCGATCGTGCTCCATCGGTTTTGCAGGCAACATCTGCCCATCATCCGGCATTGACATCCTCAGACAGCTCNAGAAGACAGGACAATAATCTGCTCGCGTTCTTACATTGGACTTGCTTTACATTGATATGTGCTGCATATCAGAAACAAGAATTCAAGATGCAAGCACATTGGTTGAACGAACTGCCCTATCGCTCTCTACTCGCTTCCGGCTGTGCACCTCTGGCGACTTACAGACCTCTGCTGCAGGACGTGCAGGGGTTTGTGTCGTCCTAAGTCATGGGGCGGAAGAATCCTTGCTTGACTGGATACTGTTACTAGTCACCTCTGTGCAGTTTGTCTGGCAGCGTCTGCGATGTAGCCTCACAAGCGGGAAGTTGATCGTCGTCTATGTGACTTGTGCATGTAACGCTGACACTATCAAAGAGAGTTTTCACGATGCCTCGAATATCCTGTCGGGGTGGACTGAAAGCACATACATCGTTGTGGTTGTCGGAGATCTGAATGCACAAGTGGGCAGGCTTAACGTATCTGAGACTGAATTAAGTGGTGGACATGGATTGGACTTGGCGCGTACGAACAATGGTGAGTGATTGCTTCAGCTGTGTGCTGATCGCAGTCTGTTTTAATGCATGCTAAGCTTTGAAATAACCGGAGCCGTCTGGCCACTTTGTCCAACAGCGTGCTGGCTATGAACTCGAATTGATCAAACCGGTTACGTATATCTCATATCAATAACTAACTGGCGCCCGTTCTGGAACATATTTGATTTCGACCACGTGGTCGTCTGGAATCGCCTCTCCAGGGCCGCGTAAGTTGCGGAAAGTGGCTTAGCAACTGACAAAATGGCAGTTGAACGAACTTACCATAATCGTCCTCTAGGTTCTCTTCCAAATGCTCCACCATCAAGTGTGAATTCACGCTGGGACGAGATCGCCACCTCTGCACATTTCTGGGTGTTTTACCTGGAAGTTTGTGGACGTGTTAAGTTTTTCCTATTCTTAGACTTCTGGAATTGTGAGAGTATGTGGAGTGCTCTCCAAAAGCTTCTGTATGTGAAGCGTTGTTCGTCTGGGGTCCGTCTTTATTTTTATTGGCTTTCGTGATTGACGAGGTAATAAGACGAACGCTGGAAGGTCGTCAAAAGCCTGGTGTTCAAATAGCTGCTGACGAAAACCTTATCGCTTTTGAATACACAGACGGCACCGTTTTTCTCTTCAAAAAGGAAAATAAGGCGCAGTTAAACTGATCAAACTCATCCCGTTCTTTGGCACTTTGCACTTTGCACCCACACAGTGTAAGGTTATGCTCCTGGACCTGCAGTCTTTGAACAGACAACTTACATTCCAGGGAGAGGCACTCGAGCTTATGGACCGTTTTTCATATTTTGGAAGTTGTGTTAGTTCGGACCGTAGTGTGACAGACAAGATGAATGAACGATCCTGCTAATTTTGGCACCTATGGCGTCACAGATGCGTATATGCGAATCTCGAGGAATGGCTACAGCGCGCGCTGTTTTGTCATATGGGTATGATACTTGGTCTGTTCTGGCAGCGGAACTGAGACGTCTTCATATGTTTGACAGCCGTTGTCACAGAACTATATTTAGTGTCGACGATTCCGTAACGATATAGCGGGGACTTTCATTGAAGAATGTGTCCAGCACCAGAAGCTTCGTTGGTTAGGTCATGTATTGCGCATTTCGAATCCATCGTTTGTCAGAAGTGCTGTTTTCTGTGGCCAACTCACAGTGGCAGAATCGGAAAAGTGGCCAACCCTTTGATCTGGCCAAAGAGTATGAAAGAGATTACGAAAGTCATGGTGTTGTCGGTGCTACTTGCCTTACAGGATGAGGACCGCGTGATCCCCACTGCATCTGGTTGAGGACGCTGCAAGGTGCGGTTGTCAATCGATGTGAATGGCGTTCTTGTCATTTTTTATCCACTTTGCCTGGACGAGTGTCTGGAGGTGTATGCATCTCAGGGTTATTGTGATAGTCAAGTACTATGTCCCTTCGCCGTCCACTCTTGTTATTTTCTTCACAATAAGAGTCTAAAATTATTCATGATTGTACGTGAACGATGCATGAATGTTGAACACTGGTGTTATACTGCCGATGTTCATAATGTTTTGTCAGAGGTTGATCCTTGAGTCCGTTCCGAATTCAGCTAACGCCTGGTTGGACATTTGGTTCTGTTCTTACAGGTTCTAAACCAAAGAAGCAACGGAAGGCGGACTGATGGCTAGACTGTACGTCAAGGGATCTTCCCGGATGCGTCATCGCACTGTATAATTCCTCCGCTGTTTGTTCTTGTTACCTTGTTACCCTTGTTGTTATCCCTCTTACCTGTGCTATCATGTCTGCCAGTAGGCGATTGATGTTGTTGCTATAAACTGAGTTGTATTCATTACACCTGTTAATCTGAGTTTTTTGGGAAATAATGTGTGATGCTCACCCACATCGGGGATCGTCAGAGGGTCCTCTGGCCAGTAACTACACATTGTTCATATTAGAACTACTCACCCGATGACTTGTGCCCGCCCCTCTACACCTATCTGATTACTTCCACTCAAGGCTAAAAGTCTCTATTTAGCTGCACTTTTCGGAAATCGACATCTCTCAGAGGAGGCGCCCGGTCCAATTTTCATTTTATGGTTTGACACTTATCAAATCATTCGTGGATACCGATGACTGGTTGGGGCTAGTCAGCTGAACAGTCACAAGTGAAGGTATCTAGGTGAACGGTCGCATACTTCGAGTACCAAATCTCTGTCGTTTCCAGCGCTTCATATATGCTATCACGAATACCATGTCATAGGTTTGAATTAGAAATCGATGTCGTTGCGACGGGCTTGGTTAATTTAGCACGATATCCATAACAGCTCAATGTGACATGTACTAACTCATTCGGACTCAGTTGCATCCACGGTATCTTCACTCTGTCTGTCAATCAACGTGTTTCCGTTCAGTGATGTGTGGCTTATCAGTTGTTCTGGCCCAGTCGTGGTTACCTCTCAGCGTACCACCATCTAAACTGAATCCGATTTCTCGAAGTGCTCTCACCCTCTCCACCATTTTTCCATGTTTAACGCGTTCGGATTCTTGGATTTTTAATCTGGAGGAAGGAGGCCAATCTCGAGGTTCATAGTGGTGAGACACGTGCCATCACGCGGCATTTTCGGGTGATTTTTCTGGTTCTTAGAAATGTGGTTGTATTTCGGCCCTCAGGCATTATTTTTCACGTCGGTTGTTGGCGGTAATGGACCTTCAACCCCAATGATATGTGGTCTAACTTGCATTGGTCTGAAAAGAGCGTCGTTTGACAAAGTCACACACGCACTGAAACTGGTATAGTGGTGCTGTATACCCAACTAGCCACGTTTCATACTCACCCAGTAATTTACGACAAGCACTAATAAGGCAGATCTAGTCTCTGGAATGAAGTGTCAGTCAGAGTGTAATGTTCACATCTATTCTGTATATGAGAGAATGCATTTATCATTCCTAGTAAACTTACATCTAGATTTGCCGAAATATTTGTTAGACTGACGTCCGTCAGGCACTAATTAATTCGTGATACGCAACTTACTAACACGGTCCCTATTTGTGTTAATCAATAAGAATTCACACAATGTTTAGAATGAGACCAATGTAAGATCCAAGCGGTTATGGATCTCACAGGACGATTACGGCTATTAGATTATACGCATTTCGCAGCCAGTAGTCAATAGGAGCAGACGGACGTGGGGCAGCAGATGATATATTGAGGACTGACAGGAACTGGTTCTACAGACAAACGGATTAGTAAGCATCATGAATTAAGCAAACGTACAATCAACAATGAGGCAATCAGCAGGAGCGGAAAATAGTCACTGAGGCAACAGGAATTTCTAGAAGCAACATCAAGTAAGCAATGCGATGTACAGATATACATATGGGGGCGGTCTGGCAGTGTGAGTTGGCCGTATTCAGAGATAACGGCGCAGGAATCAGTACGTTTGAGATGTGAGGGACTGTCGGTTGGTGGCGCGAGGCGGCAGCTCGTGTCACCTGACAAGTCAGATTACGCGGTTTCGTCCGTATAAGCAAATCTCACCAAAGGCTCGGCAGATGCAGATGGGTACTAGAAAATAATAAACCGTTCCGGGTTTAGGATGGGTTAGTGGATAGCGCGCACTGCTCCCGTCCGGGAACTCTGGGCGCGATACCCGGCAGGTCCACCATTCCGTCGGAGTGGACGCATAACTGAGACGGACTTGCAAGCAATGACCGACGGGCAGCAAAATATTGACATCAGTTACAGCAGACCCTAAGTAGGGACGAAACAGGGGGAAAACGAGAAGCAGCGAAACAAACGCCATCATAATAAACGGGCGTAAGACACGTTACTTATGAGTAGTCAGAAAACAAGGAAAGTTGCCGCTGTTTACCGTTGATTCACAGGGGGAATCAACGACTAAGTTTACGACAAATACACTCGTTTGCAAATCAATTTGGTTTTCACAGGTGACTCAAGTAAATCTCTCGTTTATGATGTTCTTCAACCGAATTTGGTGCATAAAGGCCGCCTCATGTTTCAGTTGGTACGATATCCGAGATATCGCAGCATATTTTCACACAGGAAACTACTCAAGGTTGCTGAAGATCCTTCGACAGCCCACGACCGGTTTAACCGTTGAAGAACACCATAAACCAAAGATTCATCTGAGTCTTCCGTGAAAACCAAATTTATCTGAAAATGAGTGTATTTATCAGTCCAATTTGTGTTCAAGTAGGATGTAAGTTTGACGGGACCTCGGGGACTGCGCCTACCTGATGAGACCCAAGAGGGGCAAAGCCGGTCGTGGGCTGTCGAAGAGTTTTCAGCAACCAACTAAGGTTAGATTTTGTCAACTTGTATGCTTTGATGACACTTTTTAATGCGTCCTCTTCGTTATCATCGGCAACGTGACGTCTGTCCAATACTGATGTTTCGCTGATTTAGTTGAAAGCCGTGTAGTAAAGAAAAGAATAAAGGTGGATAGGGAAGGGACTTAGTGCTAGCCTAATACGATCACTCCGAGGTCCTCATACCTCCAAACACTCATTCAGGCAATCTAGCCAGAACGCCAGACATCCAGTGGCAGCCATATCTGACGGAGTCCCTAAACATGCGCAGTAAGGATTACGCAGTCCCCATCCTGGAAGGCGAGTAGCACCGACAGCATCCAAGCGCTTCATATTCTCCTTCATATCCCTGTGTCAGTTCAAGGGTTGGCTACCCCTCCGCTTCGGCCACTCCGAATTGGGCACAGATAAAAAATCTATTCGGCAAACGATGGTTAGGCATACTCAACACATTTCTCAACAAACGCAACTTTTGGTGCTGGCCGCATTTTAAACGGAAGTACTCGTTGCACAATCGAAAACTCGCTTACTAATTGCCTAGTGACATACGCCGACAGAAACCCACACGAGCTATGGTTCTGAAACAACGATTGTCGAACACCTGAAGACGCCTCAGCTCCGTTGCTCGAATAGGTCAAGTCTCAGCCATACAACAAAACGACCCGTACTGTAGTTTGATACACACGTCCTTTGAGAT